TCTCTTAAGAGTTCTTTTGCCCCTCTCTTAGTATAATCAGCAATCTCATTCCACTTGACTTGTCCTCAACATTTCATTATCCTTCTTTATTCAATTTATTCTTAAATCAACATATTTTCTCCCTTTTTAAATTCTATACCCAGGTCTTGGATACCTATTAATTTTACCCCTCTTGTGCAAACATCCGTTACCATGAGCCTATGTAGCATGGTCAAACTCTCTCTTGGGATAACCTTACAGTATTTACATGATGGTCGATGTGCCTTCTTAAATAGAAAGAAGTCTATCTGACTTTTATGTGATCTACTTTTGTAAGTTATTAAATATTCATCATGCTTTTTAAGATAGGTGCTTGGTATTACTAGGTCAGAAGCCATAGCAAAATCAAGAATAACATCACCCATCTCATTTCTTTCCTCAAATCCACATCCTCTATGTGCCCTTTTTAATTCTCCGCTATCTTTTCCTACATGACTATTTAAGTCCCCTCTTAAGAAATTCCTTTTTTCATTTGTTTTTTCTTGGAGTAGTCCATCCATGTTCCCCTAGAATTGAATCTTTTTAATTCGATCCTCTAGTCCTACCTATGGTATATTAGCACTAATTACATTAGTTTATCTCTTCCCTTCACACAAGTTTAATTCATAGAAGCCTATCACTTGCTCTCCTAACATCTGCTACTTTATCATTTAAATCTTTGTCTACTACTATTGCCTGCGTCATTTTTATTATTATCCTTTCATATATAACAAAATTATATCCATCAATTTCCTTAGCTTTTACCCATTTCTACTTGGTTTCCTGTAAGCAAATTATGTTAACTCTCATTCGTCTAATTATATCCACTAGCTCCATACTCTTACGTATTAGACTTCCTACATTCCATGTGGCTAGATGAATCTTTTTCTTTTTTAGCAGTTTCTTTACCTGCACTCCTCTGAAATGGCGCAAGAACCCTTGCGTACTTATCATCACAATCGGGCATTATTATGACACGTTGCTTCTAAACAACACCCTCGCTAACGTTTACTCATTTCTCACTGTACGTTGGTGCAGGTACAGCACATTCCTTATGAGGAACACCCTAGCATGAGCATATTTTAACACTGGATTGAGATTTATGAAATATATATGGCAAAACTTTTACGCTGGCTGCCAACCCAGCACAACCCTCCTCCTTCGGGCTTGGACTGGCGATGGTAGAATTATATATATATATACATATATATATATATATGAAGGTGATTAGCTGCAGAATTGCATGTCATCCAAGAATTGCCTATTGCTTCGGTACATTAGGAATGAGTATTTCATGATATATAGCACTTAATATTTTAACTTATCAAAGTACGAAACTAAAGAAATATCATAGAGAAGAACAGCGTGCAAACCTCAAATAGTAATAAAATTGCAATTCAACGAAGTTTACAGTTAATATTTTATTAAAACTTGATATTTCTATTATTTCTAATTAAATAATTACATTTTCAAATATTAATTGACAAGTTCAAAATCATACAAAAACTATAAAATTTACTCGTTAGCATATTTTAACACTGGATTGGGATTCATGAAATATATATAGCAAAACTTTTACACTGGCTGCCAACCCAGCACAACCCTCCTCCTTTCTTCGGGCTTTGGAATCGCCATGACTAGCTTTGGACTGGTGATGGTAGAATTATATATATATATATATGATGGTGATTAGCTGTGGAATTGCATGTCATCAAAGAATTGCTGCTTCGGTACTTTAGGAACAAGTATTTCATGATATATAGCACTTAATATTTTAACTTATCAAAGTACGAAACTAAAGAAATATCATAGAGAAGAAAAGCGTGCAAACCTCAAATAGTAATAAAATTGCAATTTAACGAAGTTTACAGTTAATATTTTTTTAAAAACCTTGATATTTCTATTATTTGTAATTAAATAATTACATTTTCAAATATTAATTAACAAGGTCAAAATCATACAAAAACTGGAAAATGTACTCGTTAGAATTGAAATGAGCATTAACTTCCCAGATCTAAGAATTTAATTTTAGTTATGCGAACTACATTTTTTAATAACATCATTCAAACCATTGTTTACAAGTGAAAATTTTTTCCTAATTTTTTTTCTTATAACAAGTTTTGATATCTATCTATCTTTGATAGTTACCATATGTGTACTAAACAACAATTAAGGGTAGGACACATAAGGTACTTAACGTACCAATTTTCACTAAGTTTTGGTTTGATACAATGAGAACTCAGGGTAGGTACCTTCTCATTAGAAGGTGTTAAAAAATAAGCTCTTCAATCTAAACATCCAAAATCATAGAGGATAATTGTATCTCTCTCTCTATCATGCATCTTGAGACTATCCAAAAATTGGATTTTCAATCTAAGCATCCATAATCATAGGGGTTTACTTAGGAAAAGATCCGGGCTTAATTGGTTAGTGCTTAACAATTTGCAAAGGCACGTCTTAGGCTCAATTCCTACCAAGGGTAGGGGCCCTTTCCCCACTGACTCATCCCCCCCAAAAAAAAAAAAAAATCATAGGGGTTTAGTTTACCTCGTTCTCTATTATGTGTATTGAGGTGATCCAAATATTAGATGGACCCTTTTGTTTTTCCATTTTTTAAATATTCATTAAATGCTATTTGAATTTATTTCTAATTAACTTTCATATGTTATTTAAAATATTATTTTTTTGAGTTTTAATTATTGTTTGTGGTTCGCAATATAATGATAGCTAGAGTTTGATTTTAATTAACTCCACAATTGTTATTTTGTTTGAAAATTGGTAATTACAGCTATTTTAGAGTAATCTCTAATTATTTTCATATATTAATTAAACTTGCTCAAAATCAGATGAAAATTACAAATTTTACTCATTGAAATGAACAATATATTCTTGTTTTGAAACAGCACTCTTAAACCATTACTTATGAGTGAAAGTTTTCCCCATTTTTTTATAACAGTTTCTGATATCTGTCCATGTGTTTTACATGTATCAGACCATAGTTAAGACTACCACACTTCGCATGCATTCCGGTGATATACCTAATGAAGGAGCTAGATAAGAGTATGTGGCTTACTGAGTTTAAGATGATAATAACGTGGGATTAGGGTACTTACCTTTGCATTATAATGGAATTAGAAATATAGGATTAGCAATTATAAAGGAGTTGGAAAATCTAAACATCCAAATTCATAGGCAATAACTCTCTCTCTGTCTCTCTGTCTCTCTCTCTATTGTCTTATATTGAGACTTTCCAAAAATTGGACAGTCACTATTCAATCTTAGGGGCATTATTTTTTCAAGGGACATATAGTGTGTGATTTTTCTTTCTTCAATAGCTCTAGATAGGTTCTACTGGTTGTTGACCTCATGGTCATGGCATTATGATGATCCTATGAGCTATGGAAAATGTCTCACTACAAACTGTGTAGTGATGAAAATCTGAAGAGAATCAAAGGATGGAAATTGATTCTATATAATTTGGAAAGTCTAGCCCAATCATCAATGACCAAGATTATAGAAGAATAAATAGTAAATGAGGCACACAGCCATAATCACTAGCATCTTCATCGCCATGCGATATATGGGTTGCACAATAATTGAGCCGCATTGTTTTCACAAGATATTCAACTAATTGAAGCCATCACCATTGATAACCTCATTATCATGGGGTTATGATGACCATATAGATCATATAACATGTAAGATAACTCATTACAACTGTTTAAGTAATGATGTGTGTGTATATCTACCTCTAATACTATAAGCACATCACAAACATGCACCGACCTAAAAATAATTTTTTTACTAATATTTCCTTTCCATTCCTAGTTGAATTTTTACAAACCCAATCCACATAAAAAAACTCACACAATTACTACAATCAGTGTTTCAAAAAATGGTCCGCCCAATGCCTAGGCATCCAAAGGGCACTCGACCGCATGGCTAGCCCTGGGTGGCCCTCTCTAGGTGCCAGTTCCTAGGCACCCACCCAGGCGGCCTAGGCGGGCACCTAGTGCCCAATCTTGGGTGGGCACCCAGGGCCTCCCTTTTTATGGAAAAAAAAAAAAAGTAGAATAAGAAAAAATGGCCCGTGAGGGCAAATTGGGTCTTTTTGACCATGAAATATAGTGAAAGGGGTGCTTTGGGGGTATTTTAAACTCCCCAAAGTGAAAAACAGGTCCTAAAAACACCCCAAATCTATTGATATTTGCAAAATTTTTTGAATCGAAAAAAATTGTAGGGTTTGAAGAAGCATCCAAAAACTTACCCTCCCTTATTAGAATTATTTTTAGTCTTATATTCTTATTCAAGACTTGGAATGTACGTGACTATGTCTATGTGAGTAGCTGTGTATGATGATTGTATTGCACTATAGAGTTTGGAGAGTTGGAGAAATGTAAAAAAATAGAAAATTGACACGAATATCTGCATATATGTGCACTTGGACAGCACATGTATATATGTATCTGAAAAATTTTCACCTTAAGGCATATGAGGTTCTGGTCACCCGCCAGGGGCCACCTAGCATTTTCTAAAACATCGACTACAATTTTATCACCTCTCTCATTTCACTTTACATCATCATAAACCATGTGCAATGCATGTGCTCCAACTAGTGTGTCTGTGTGCGTGCGTGTGCATGTGCGTGTGCGTGTCCGTGTCGATATATATATCGAGAGAGAGAGAGAGAGACGAGGGACACATTCAGTCCCTCACTTCTTTAATTATCTTTCAGCTGCTTTAAAATTACTCTACCATCCAGAACAGGGATTGGCAATACTGATTTTAGGACTGATTTTGACCAACAGTGCAGGGTCAAGGTGGATTACTTACAAAAAAATTGAATTTGCTTCCTCTGTTTATATGTGTGGATGCGTGTATGCATCCATGTTAGCATTTATCTCATGAGAGTTTGTTGTGTGGTATGCTTGTTCATGGTGTAGCGCTTTGCAAATTAACTAGGGGTATGTTTGGTGATGTAGTGTACGGCCATGGGAAATGAAGATCAAGATTTGGGAGATCTCCTATCACGCCTGGCGGCTATGGTAATTAAAAGTTCCATCTCAATTCCTCGCAAATTCTCATTTTTGGTGTAAAAGTCCTTGTCAATACGACTTTATTACCTTTTAGTAGAAAGGTTCTATGCCATCATCTCCATTGCTTAAATTAAATGGTGAGGTTTGGTATCCGAACCGAATCGTTTATCATCAAACATAGTTCTGATAAAGTCACAACTGTAGTTTTCCATTGTTGAAACTCTGCAATTAATGTTTCTCTTCAGATCGAAGATGTTTCGGTTGTGGAAAGCGGTCCACGTGTGGAGAAAAGGATTGCTTACATGATAGTCAGGCACATCAAGTTTGGCCAATCAAAGAAGCAATCTGCAAAAAAGGCTTCTAAGATTGTTGAAACAAAACAATCTCCAACCCAAATATCTGCTTCACCTCAGCCTGAAATCGATGGTCTCATAAACTCTAGTCCCATTCCTCTTATCATGGAAGAAGCTTCAGAACCTACTGTTTCTGATTCAGAAGCTGAAAGCTCAGAACTTGAACCGTTTGAGGACTCGGAGGCTGCTGATGATGCAAGTTGGTCGATTTTTGGCACACCTGAGGAACCCGAAGTTTTCGACATTGATAAGTTTGGTGTTGATTCTCACCTTGAACAAGAAGGAAAACCTGATAATCTCTTTCATGATTTTGGGGAGTTTCTTACCACCTCAAGGAGTACTGATACATCAACAGGTATGCCTTCCATCAAGTCTTGCAAAGAAGTCCCAGATAACACACTTGTAGACATTTCCTTCCAACCAAAGTCTTCATTTGTGGATATGGATCAATTGAGAGAGAGAGGGGCAAAGGAGATCGCTCAAAATGTGAAATCAGTTGAAAGGAGAGAGGAAGAACAAATGAGGATAGCTCAAGAAATAAGACGAGCTGAGAGAAGACCGAGTGAGAGAATCAGTCCAGTTATTGAGAAGAAGATAATACCAGGTGAGAGAATCAGTTCAGTTATTCAGAAGATGATAATACCAGGCACCCCCAATATCCCATCAATGCCTTGTCAAAGCTTTCGTATCAAGAATATAGATCGTCCTCAAGCCGAGCAAGCTCAGAAGAGCACTCCAACTAATTCAAAACAAGGAAAGTCAGTTCAGGATACACCGACCAATACAGTAAAGTCGAGCTTTGGTATCTTTAGTTCTCCAAAAAGCTCAGCGACCACAAACAACCCTAGGGCGCTGTCTGAAGAAAAGGAGAAACCAGTGAGCCCAAGCAATTCGACTGAAGCTTTGAAGAAACCCACCCAAGCTTCGGACTTGACACCAGAGATCAAGAGGGAGAATAGCGGGACTCAGCAAGGTGCATGGGGTATATTTAGTACCACTCAAAGGAAGGCACAAAGATGATCCTCATTCGCAAAGGAGAAAAGTCCATGGATTTTATACAAAGGATATATTTATTTCCATCTGATCAGATGGCTAAGTTTAGGTTGTCCATTTTTTGATGTGCTGGAGCAGGTCATCATTTTGCTTTCACCCAAGGTGGATAGAAGAGGTCAGGTGGTCTCCTCTAAAATCAGAAAGTGGGCGAGTGCACTTGTAGTCAGCGGCCTTTTGGGTTTGTTTTATTTGTAAATTTTGCAGGGTCATTTTGAAGTAGTTTTTCCAGTTGAATAACGATTAGTTTGGATGCACCCATAACTTTGTTGAATTGACAACAATTAATCCAGAGATAGGTGAAAAAAATCATCTTTTTGGAGTAGTGGGGGAAGAAATGTTGGCATCAAGCGGGGCAGCAGGGAGATAGATCTATTAATGAATGGCTAGAGCAGTCTTGAACTATAATGGGACTCACGTCTAAATAGGTGGTCTTTCCATACTGGCCTCCAGAAAACCCAAGTAACGAAAATCTGGCGGACCCAGTAAAATCTGTTGTATGACAGATACAGTCCGTCTTTTACTTGATGAGCATTGGTTATTTATTTATAAATCAGAGTACAATATCATTTCAACAAAGAACTCAAGAAAGTCTAATTAGGAAATCTTGCCTAGAAACTCCTTTCAAGGCAATTCATCCGTGATATCATTGGTCTCCCTGTAAGCATGCAAAAACATGACTTCAAACTTCTCATGAATGTCCAATATCTCATACCAAATCACTAGACATCAAGGCACCTTCTGTTCCCTCTTACACCACTCTATATTGTATTTGTATTCATGGAACCTCCCTGTTATTACATGCGCTCCCAATTGTCTCTCTTGAATTGAACCACCATTGTGATTGCATGCACTCCCAATTGTCTCTCTTGTATTGAACCAACATTGCGATTGCATGCACTCCCAAGTGTCTCTCTTGTACCTCTTAGAATTGCCATTGCTCTTACATGCACTCTCAGTTGTCTCTTGTACAACTCTCAATCCTCTTAGAACTGCGAACATTGACTACCAACATTTCTGCTTATTTAGCTGTAGCTTGACCACAAGGACCGGATAAAGCCACGAAAATATTACCCCAATGATTCTTGTCAACACTGCCAAACTCAGTTGGACCTGGATTGCTTAAAGAACTACCGATCAAAGTTCAATTTAATTAGGCTTATAGATGGTGGAGTCGAAACACTCAATGGTCTACACTTACAATGCGCCATCTTAACTACCTCTCGAGTGTTGAACACGCCTTGTTCAACTACCTCTCGAGTGTTGAACACGCCATGTTCAACTACCTCTCGAGTGTTGAACAAAATGTCATATCTAGAGATACCCCAACAAAACTTAGCATAGATTACATAAATTTATGTTTTAATATCTCCAAATATGTGACCTGACCATCAAAACCCCTCTCCTTCCACATCTCCCATGATAAGCTGCTCTCTATGTCTTAGTTTCTTCAAATAAGTGACCTGACCATCAAAACCCCTCCTATTCATCTCCAACTTCTCCCATACTAAAGCTGCTCTAAAACCTTTCCAAACTGTGTTACCCACCTTCAAAAAACCCGGCACATTCGTATGGTCAATTAAATTAGAAACTGGCCTTTGGAGATTTAAGCTAATGCCCAACTTTCACAAAGCCGTAGACCTTAAGCTACAATGAAGTCACAATGGACAAACAAATGATCACATGATTCCGCATCTTTTTTACGCAACATGCAGATATTGACAATTGTAAGTCCTTTCCTTGGCAAGTCCAGAGTCAATGTTTTCCCCATTACCAAAATCCATAAGAAAGCTTGCACTTTATGGGGAACCAGCCACTTTCAAATTTAAAGCAAATTGCGTCTACAACCATTTAAACATATCATGTAATAAATAGAGATAGACAGATTTAACTGAGAACTTACCATCTGCTGTGAACTCCCAAACCTTGTCATCTCTCCTTTCCGGGTTTGCATACACCTTTGATGGATCTTGCAGCAATTGTGAATATTGACAGACGAATAAATCAAAAACACTATTGCAACGGCAATTGATATTTTAAAAAGTTTGATAGCCACTTCCCTCCACCCTCTAAATAATCTTATTAAATTGATTAGTAGTTTTGAGAGTAAACCTCAAGTAAATTGGTATTTTAAGATGCCATCATCTCTCCATCTTCGTTGTCACAAGCATAGGGAAATAATAACGACAGAGGGAAGAGAGAGGACTATAGAGGGAGACGACTAGAACAACGCCATTATGCTAGTCAGCTTTCATTCGATGCATGACGTTGATTTGATCCGGTAATCAATCTGTTTTTCTCCTAAATGGCTGGCAAAGTCGCTTTGTCGAATCAAACGAAATTCGTTGAAACAAAAAACAATATATCCATAGAATAGACATGGTGGAGATGGATGAGTGGCATGATAAGAAGAGATAGAATTCAAAATGAATCCATTTCAGGTAATTTAGGCATGATTTCAATAGGCGATAAGATCAGGGAGAGTAGACTTAGGTGGCCCGATTATGTGTAGTGCCGACCAAGTACCTGTTAGGAGGTGCGGGCTAATTCAAATGGAAGGACTTAAAAAGACAAGGAGCATACTCAAAAGAACGTGGTTGGAAATAGGTCAAAACGATATGAAGATTTATAGTCTCACTAAAAGTATGATCTTTAATAGAGTAAAAAGGCGGATCAAGATTTGTATGGTCGACCTCAATTAATTTAAAAAAGATTATAATGATGATGAATGAAATTCATTATAACTGTTAAAAAAAAAAAAAAGATGAATAAAATTCAATAGAACTATTAAAAAAATAATAATAATAAATAATAATTAAAAAAAACAAATATGCTTGATCCGAATATCTATGACTATCATCGTCAAACCTTTTTTCCAACTAATTAGGTTGGCTATCTTAATAACTATTACCGTAATCACAAAAACCATATTGAATTTAAAACCAATATATTCTATTCACTCTCAATTTTTTATCATTGAAAGAATATCTTTCATGATGGGTTTCCTTTTGATAACTGGTATGACTCGTTTAGGAACAACAAAATATATCTGGTAAGAGGACACGTGGTGTTGTTGGCATGGATTCCGCTTCTTATACTATTAAGTTTGGACATATGTAGGGTTCCTTGTGATCCACGCTTATCTTCCTTTCATGTAGACCAAACTCTAAAAATAATAATGACAATCACTTTTTCAGGAAAAAAAAAGAAAAAGAGAGAGAGTACTATGTCAGCTGTTTGGTGGGACTTACCAAATCGTTTTTTTCTTTTGTTAATGTTTATTGATTTTATTTTTTATTCATTTTGGATGTGATTGGTATAAACAATAAGGACTCCTTCAAATAGGATCAAAATATATTATTTTTATATAAAAGAAATTTATAATAACTTGAAATTTTATTTTCATATCTAATTATAAAATTTAAAACTTAAAAAATAATGTAGATTAAATAGATTTATAAATACTTGAAAATCTTGAAATTTTACGATTTAAAAAAGGTGCGGTTTGTATAGAGCTTAGGCTCTAAACAATCAAATTAGAACTTACCTTCAAATAGTATCAAGAAATGTGGTTTTAATATTGAAAATCTTTGTGATAGCTTTAAAATATATTTTCATAGTTATTTATAAAGTTTAAAGCTTCAAAAATAATGTAGATCGATATATCTATAAAACTTGAAAATCTTAAAAATTGACTATCCAAAAATGCATTATAAAATACACTACTTCTAAAACTTGCAATCTATTTTTTTTCATGTCCATGCATCTTGATGTCGAGATGATCAATTTAAAGACATTTGGGCATCAAAACAACCTCTTCTAGTGAAAGTTTTGAGTTAGGCTCAAATTTGATTGTTTAGAGCCTCGGCTGTATATAAACTTTTCGTTTTAGAAAATACATTATAAGATGCACTATTTTCAAGACTTGAAATCCATTTTTTTTTCTCCTGTTCATACATCTTGGGATCAAGACGATCGATTTGAAGATTTTTAAGTATTGAAGCAACCTCTTCTAATGAATTTTTGAGATATGCCGTAATTTGATTATTTAGGGCCTCACCGTATATAACCTTTTTCTTTTTATTTTTGACATGTTAGTAGTGGGAATAGCAGGTGGGTGGAACGTTATATTGAGGCATCCGCCCCCTAATCACCTGCCCAAAGCCCCATTCCTGCTCTTTCTTTGATTATTAGTAGGGTTTTAGCAATTTAGCCTTTGGGCAGTATCATTATTATCTACAAAAAAAAAGCTTTTCCTAGTGTCGTGGCTTTAAAGTTTGCCAAAAATTGCTATTAGAGCACTTGAAAAAAGCCGAATGGCTCATTTCTATCTCAAAAAAATAGATTTCAAGTTCTAATAACAGTTTAACTTGTAGCATATTATCTAGATTATTCATTTTTAGGTGTTTTAAGATTATCTGATCACACCAAACTTGAAGCTTCAAATTTCATAATCGAATTAATTTTCCAAGCCATCAAGATTTCGAACGCCGAAACTGCAAGGTGAGCCTTTGTTTTTTAATTTTATCATAAAGCCTAGCCTTGCTAACCACTTCCATATTACTGTTATGGTTTAAAATTGAATGTGACGGCAGGGACTCGATAATAGTAGAAAAAAAAGAAAAAGAAAATAGAAGAGAGAGAGAAAGGTAAAGTATGTATAAGACGATACTATTTATTTTTAATATAGGGAACTACAGTCATTCGTATCCGTCAAATTTTAAATCGGATCATTGTGAGTGTGCCATTGATTAGAGTCAAAATCCAAATAAAAAAATTCTCAAACCTCAAATACACTCCAAACCATCTAATGGCTAATAGCAATTGTGACGTTGTAAAAAAAAAAAAAAGTCTCATTATACACAATACCAAAATAAAAAAAAGATAAGGTAAATTTCCAGAAAATCATAATACTGATGGTTGCAACTAAAAGTTGCTTTAATAGCTTGTAGGGCATTCACTGTAGAATATATACTCTTGTTTGTTTTGTTTTATGTGGACTGATCCACATTTCTATATACATAAAGGATGCTGGGTGGTCCATTTAAAAATAATTATAACTTACAGTCTAGGTGTTTTTTTAATATAATTATTATTTCTAATTTCTAATTTTTTTTTATTTTTTTTTATATTCATGATCTCCATGTTAAAGATTATATATTATCTAAAAATTAGAATCAAATTATATTTAAGAAACTATTTATTGCCAAACCTACATTTCTACAATATGCGGGCTGCCCGCATTACCTTTTCCAGCTGCTAGATGATGAGCTAATGTGGTTAGATCAGATA